TTATACATTTATACGTATATCTAATGAGATGCATAATGCAAAATAACCATTTTCAGCGCTTAAAACCAACTGATTTATAATCTGTACGATATATAGGGGGGAGGGGAAGGGAGGAGGGAGGGGAGACACGAGGCCGTGGTTTCTTATGCAGAAAAAAATCATTTGTTTTGTCCCCTAACAAATCCTCTCGGGACTCACTGCAATGGGTTTATTTTTTTATTTTTATTTTTTTAAGTGCGTCCGACATTTTTGCCCAGTCATCTTATGACAACTTACCACATTATTGAGGGACAGTATTTAAAGATTAACTGCACAGCTATTGGTCCGCCAACGCCAAACATCACGTGGGTGTATATCACAGATGGTAGTGTTGATATCATGAGACAAGGATCAGGAAGTGCTGTACTGCATATAGATAACATCAAACGATACCATGCAGGAGTATATGAGTGCCAGGCTAAAAACATCCCAAACGAGGATCCAACCACAACAAGGACAAGTGTAACAGTCTACTGTGAGTTTATTAATATGGCTTTAGTGATTGTAAAATTTCATACTTGTACGTAACACCGCCGATTTCTTATCACATTATACACCTATTTCGAAAATCGTTGTCGCACCAAGAGCCTCAAGTAACAAGCCAAGGCTCAAGAGAACGTCGGTACTTTTAATTATAATTGATTTATTCATGGTTCATGCAAATAGATATAGCTCTACACTGAATATCATCTCAAGCAGCATTGCATGGAGCAATTTGTGAAGTCAATAAATGAAAATGCACCATGAATAAACTAATTACAGCTAAAAGTATCGGCGTTCTCTGCGGTCTTGGCTCGGTGCTTTAGGCTTTTGGTGCGACAACGCGGATTTCTGAAATAGGTGTATATAAACTTTCTCGTTCATCCTTTTAATGCGCGCGCTCTACCTTAGACCAGTAACTGGAACCGTTAGGTCTAAGGCAGAGGCGCCTATTTTTTCGTCTCGCGTGGCCGCCAAGCTATGTCAAAGGTATAGGACGCGCACTGTAGCCGGCAGGTATCTTACGCGGGTTCAAGCTTTCTCATATTATGAACAGTGGTAAATAATATGACAATGGAATATAAGTGCTTCTGCCCCCTGTGTCGCTAGCGAGAATACACAAAGAACTTGCTAGCGATTAATAAGCCTAAAATATAAAGAATTGAATACCTAAATTTTATATTTCTACCCTGTAATAATAAATCTGAACCAACGAAAACTAGACGTCAACCCTCTTAAAAAAATCAATTCCTTTTGGCAGCAACGGCAATTCCATTCAAAAACGATAAAAACTTCTCATTTTAGCGATCAAAACAACCAAGGCAAAGAGCGCGCACTCGCTGACGTCAACTTTAACTGTCTGCCCTATTATTGATAATAAAAAAAAACAACCAGATCGCGAAAAATTTGTGAGTTCAGATTGTAAAATTTCTGTTTTATTTTCTCTCTTATTTAGATCCACCAGAAATCACTCATCTTAGTAATGATAAGATTATTGATGAAGGTAGCTTGATTGAATTAAATTGCTTGGCATCTGGATATCCTCTACCAAATATCATTTGGTCAAAAGGAAGCTTCTTGCAATATGGTAGTAACTTGAGAATTCCTAGAGCAATAAGAAGTGATGCTGGCAATTTTACTTGTACAGCAAATAATTCTTTTGGGACTAGCGAACACCTGGTTAAGGCACATATTTACGTAACAGTGAGATGTGAGTACGATTCTACTATATAGTTCTGTAGAACTTGATATAGTATGATTAATTGTATATTTATTTATTTATAAGTTAAGTTATATTCATCTTACGTATTTATGTAAATCTAGGACACATTTGAAAACCATACTGTATAAAATGGTTTCCTAATATAAAATAAAATTAATGGGTTAATGATTGTGGGCGTATTGAAGCAATAGGCGCAAGTAATTTAAGTTTTTGAATCCCCACAAGCCCCATTCCACAACACCTCTTACTTGATTTATAAATGTGCACATCGGTTGTATGTGCTGTTTGTTGCATGTAACAGATTTTATTGCTTTCCTTTGAACGGCACTGGATTTAATTCCCACTGTTATTGAGTTTATTTGAATCAAAAGCTTTGCATCTGGGAACGATTTTCACAATCTTTATATGCAGGTGTATACTATTTTCATTGATGATCTACGAGCTGCATAGGGAATTTCATATAAAGAAACTCAACAAGCCAAGAAGACAAAATGAAAAACAGTTCAAATCAAAAAGTGTTTGATGTCAATGAAACGAAATGTTGTTTACGTTGTATCTGTCTTAGATAAACCATCCATAGTGCAATGGACAAAAGACCAGATCGTCAACGAAACAGACCCTCTTCATCTGACGTGTAAAGCAGATGGTAATCCAACACCAAACTTCACATGGACCAAGTCACAAGGATCCATGACGCTCAACACTACAGGGAATGAGTACCGTATTCATTCAGTCAATAGATCTGATGCAGGGACATACACGTGTACAGCTCATAATGAAATAGGAAGTGCTGGAAAAAAAATCAATGTTGTAGTGCAATGTGAGTCAATGTGAAGCTCTCGAAGGGGAGTGCAGGAAGGTTGTAGTGACATTTATACGTATATACAAATACCTAATTAGATGCAAAAAAAACTAATTAAAAAAAAAAACTTTTTACCCGTTTCTCAGCTTCATATTTAAAAATAATAATATTTTTCGAGATGTTGTATCAGTGAAGAATAAAAAAAAAATGATTTGAAAAATATGATTTGAGTGCAATGAAATGTAAATATTCGATACTTAAAAGCATGTCTTTGACGTGTCTTGCATCAAAGTAAGGAAATAAACGCGTTTTTGTTAACTTTCAAATTATTCACGATCATATTTTAAAAGTTTAAAATTTTTGCATCTCGTTAGATATTTGTATATATGGATAAATGTATACTACGAGCTTTTTGCAATCAAGTGTATATATATTTAACAAACTCATTAATATTTCATGAGGAAACTACAACAGAAAACATGACCATGAAGAGTATTTGCATGAACTTTAACTTGGATTTCTTGGGCAGATTCACTTTTAACTTGAAAATTTTGTAGCATACATTTATACAGATATCTAATGAGATGCAAGATATCAAATGAGATGCAGAACCTAAAAAAGTAACTCATTTGGTCTTATTTATCTTCTATTGTATCACAAGTATTGCACTGAATGTCAAGTTAAAAAAATGTTTTCCACAAAACTTAGTGGTTAAGCAATCGTATTTTTAAGCATGTTTTACAAGTGCAATCAAGTGCATATATATATATTCGACCGCAGAAAGGTTGTAGTATACATTTATGCATATATATATATATATACATATTTATCAAACTCATTAAAAATTTATGAGGAAAACACAACAGATTCACTTAAATTTTAGTGAAACACAAAGGAACTAACCTAGACGATTGATAAGTAATCTACAGTATTCGTGGCCGTGTTGTATCCGATACACAAACTCTCGGATACGCCTCGTGTCTGTATATCTGATCAGTACAAAACGGCCACTCATACTGTATATACTATTACATACATGTTTACAGAAGACTCGCGTCTCGGTAAATATACCACCGATATTCACTTCACTTCGCCTTCAGGCGAATGATTCTTAAATATTCTGATTTAATCTTTTAGTTTTACTTTTTTAGACAAGCCATCTATATTCAAACACCTGTCTTCCACGGATCTTAGTTCCTGGAGTGGCAGACAGGCAATCATCAAGTGCACTTTTGATGGACTACCCACACCAGTTATCACGTGGTATAAGCCCAATGATCGGCAAACTGGCGCCAAAACTATTGCTAACAGTAGTCAAATAATGGTCATAACAACAAATGATGCCAACTATGGATCATACAAATGCAAAGCCACAAACATCGCTGGCAGTGCTGAACAAGCTATCATTGTGACTCAGTTGCGTAAGTATTATTTTTTTATTAATAAAATCAATTGCCTGTCGTATTTGCAATTGTACATGCATACAACTCCGATTTCGGAAATTTATTGTTACATTTTTTGAAAGTTATCGCGGCAAAAAAAGGTCGCGCTTTACCGCTAGACGACGTAGGAATTATGCAGTTCTAACGTGACATAATCCCTTCATAATTCCGCATTTTACCGTTTTCCCTCTATTTTACCGTTGGGATTTTAGTAAACGTACCGTTCTACCGAATTATCGTGCAACGGGATAATCAATGGATAATGCGAGTTTTACCGAATTATCTAAACTGGGATAACGCAGGGATAACGTATAACGTGCCTACATTATCTCATTAGAATAATCGAGCAATAATACGTGTTTTACCGACTTATCTTACTGGGATAACGTATAGGGTTAGAAAGTTTTTCAGGACGAGCGAGCTTGGCTCGCGCTCGCATAAAAAAACAAATGGCGTTTTCTTCAACCTGATTGGTTCTCGTAAAATGTTCTGTTTTTCTGTTGGCTCTCGTGAGAAAAACCCTTCAAATGTTCTGTAGGGAAAAAAGAGTTATTAGTTTTTAAAATTTAGTCAAACAGCAAGTTTAATTATGTTCTCAAAACTTCGATAAAATATGATGAAGCGATTACAAATTGATTGCCTAAACTACCAAAAATGAATGGAAATATTCCTAATGGCAAGTGAAAAACGAAAGCGTCGTTCAAAAAGAAAATCGCTTTAGGGCAAGTTATAGACCAAAGACAATTAAAAAAACTTTCATGTATTCAAAGATGGATTAAGAAGTGTTCTCCAAGAATTCAGGTGTGTGTAGTTTAGCAAACAATCGTATATATATATTTTTTACTAGCATTTTTTCTCTACGAATCGACAAATCAAAGACTTTCCCTCAAAACTTTTAATATTTCTATAGATAAGCTTAATCTATTTTAATGCTGGAGGAAATATAACATGAAGAGCATATTACAACAAATATTCGTCCTTTGTTTAGCTTTGTAAATCATTAACAATTCGGTTGTTTTTAACCAACTATCATATGTTTTTCGTTCAAGAAAAATTCAGCTTTGTTTGCTTCCTATCGCGGGTCCCATCGGCAAAACAAAGCTGAAGACTTTCATTCGATAATTTTATATCTTTCTACAGATAATTTATTTATATATTAAATGAAATGTATAATTACACCAAACATTCAACTGTTCGAGCTAGCCATGATTATACAAATGAGCTTAAATTTGTGTTGTTGAGAGATGATATTGTGTAAAGACCTTGTCTTTCACTTTATAACCAAGCTAAAAAATGTTCAAAAACATTTACAGATGCCAATTTACTGACAAAGAAATTAGTCATTTTGTATTTGGCATTATTTTCTATTTTGTCTCAGTTTTTCGTGTCAAGTTTAATACTGACTGTACACTTTGCTTTTCGAAAACTTTTGTCGTTCGTGATTTTTGTATCTTTCTCACGCATGAAAACAGACATGAAAACTGGTAAAATCGAATCTCAAAATTTAGTAAGCTTAGCTTCTCGAAACATAGCTAATTCTCATATGAAAGGAATAAAATTATCTCTATGAAGTAATTAAGAAAACTTTTTCCTTTTAACTGATCACACATTTGGTTTTAAACGTTCAGGGCCTTCATTTCTCAAGTTTAGTTAGTTGATGATCTCCAGGCAATTTTCTCTCTGATGCTACCAAAGCCTTTGTTTGTTTTTTTTGTTTTTTGTTTTGTTTTTTTGTTTTTTTTGTTTTTTTCATTGCGGTAAGAATACATTTAATATAAAAACATCAAAATTCTTATGGTTTTTCAAACATCGTTATGTGAAAGACGCAAGTAAGCTTTAGTTTTTTCTCGCCTTAACCAGTTTTCAAGTCTGTTTTATAGTCCAGATTTGTCCTAAAAGAATCAGGATCTCCAAAATTTCGATTTCAATGAAAGACATCCAAGGTAAATTTCACTAAACCTGATATTTTGTTGGATTGTCTGTAGTTATCTTTCGTTTTTTTAAAGTAAAATTAAACAGGAATTCAAAGCTTAAAAATGTCGGCCATGGAAAGCTTTGTCGAAGAATCTTCAAAGAACAAAAATAGCCCGTGGGGTGGATGGTGGTGAGTTGTGTTCAAAATTCCTAAGTGGGATGGTATAATCGGGCATAAAAAAACAATGTAGTGCATTTTGATTCGATTTCAATGCATGGTTTTTATTATGGGGTACGTTATCTTCATCTCGAATAAAAATAATTGAGGATTTTTTTCCCGATCTTATATTTTTACCTTACAGATTCATTCAAATTGGGCTCCCTGGCTCCCTAATTTCGTATCGGGAGAGCCGCTTTTAGGCAGTGCCTAAATATATATATTAGGTCACCTTGTTCAAGTTTGCGGTGTTCGTCTCTCGCTCGCCATCCGAAATGTAAGGTGTTATTGAGCCACACGGTCCTCAGAAGAGAAAGGGGAGAATGGCAACCAAAGCTCCAAAGCTTCTCGATCTCTTTTGCAGATAATCTAAGAGCTTTATTTGGACGGCGACCTTTTCCGGATCGACGCAGTTCTTTCCGTTTGGATTCCAAACTCTCTCTCGACTTCTGGAATTCCTTGTCTTTGAGAATACATAATTTGCCATTTTCTCTCAAGAATCTGTCGATACATCTTTGAAAGGCTGTTAAAGTATCTGGCTCATAGTCACTGCTATCTGATTTTCTGACTTTTATGAAAAAATGCGAGAGAAGCTGATCTAGCTCTTCTGCTGGCATTTCAAGAATTTTTCGAGAGTCTTTGGCAACGTCAAGACGCCATCTCTGAAAAATCTTGAGGTCAGACGCCGTCTTTTTTCACTGTGTTTTTGTTTTTGTTTTCCAATTTTGTTGGCTGCTATTGTGGTTGTGGTTTCTGTGTTCTCGTTAATTTTTCCATTGAGTGTGAAATTTGGAAGATCTTCATCCGAAAAATCTATGTCGCATACCAGGTTTTTAAAAGCGTAGTCGTCCATTTGTTTCCAGCAAATCAAACTAGCTCGCTCGCGTATGTGTACGCGTGAACACTAAACTGGTTAAAACCAGTTTGAAAACCGTGTAATACGGAATTCCAAACCGTGCAATACGGTCTCATATTTGCACTCGTTTTGGCTTTTATTTGCACTGAAAAGCGCACGGTCGTATAATAATGGATATTATTACTGCGATTTTGTACGGGAAACAGCTTTTAATTTTATGAAATGTGTTTTTGTCACTCGGTAGAGATCTATATGTTAAGTGTATGCTGCATCGAGTGTATGCGAGATCGACATCTCGTCTAGCAAACGAGAGATCAGTGGTTCGAGTCCCGCGAGAACCCAACTGAGGCAGATTTTTTAATCTGCTCATACATTCGATGTAGCATACACTTAACATATAGCTTTTAAGTTACTTTAAATAATTTTATAGGCTGCGATAATCCAAGGCCCTTTTTGAATAAATGGAACCCATAATATCAACAGTTGCAGACATGTTCTGAATATTTTTTAAATGCACTTTAATTCCGCATTACACCAAGTTTCACTGAATATAAATCACATACACACAGAATGTTGAGAAGAATATAAGTTATTACTATAAATACACAGGTGCATCGCCAACTATTCCGTCATGCGCCCGCGTACAAATGCAGCGGTGTCGCTTGAAAGTGTTAGGCGAGTTAAGTCAGATTTTACAAAAATGTGTAGAGAGTCAAGATAGTTTTCGATTTAAAAATTTCTGTGTAAAC